CCTACACAGAATACTCTCTATCTCTGGAGGTTGTGGGCTCAGGACTGGCCTCTGGACTGGCCTCTGGCTGCACTTTAGCCTCTCTCTCTTGCCCAAGAGAGCAAGGAAACTTCCATTCATTCCCCAGTCCAGCTGACTGTGGAGTGGCTGAATTTCTGCTGCCTCCCAGGGATAGAGACTGCCTAGGGACAGTCCCTGTTTTCCCGCACTTTTTGGCCTTGGGGCAGCTGGGAACTGTAGACCAGCAGATGAGGAAGCTGCATTCAACTCCGTGAGTGATACCCCTGCAGGCCCCTCTCTGGAACTATAGCTCAATTAAACCTTATGGGGGAACATTTTAAACAAAGAACCACAGCCATCTTACAAACACAGGTAACTGCCATTTCGTGACACCTACCAACAGCCACTGAGGGGAAAGTTAGTCCCACACAGGAGGCAAGCAGGAAAAGCATCTTCGTCAAGAGAGAAAGCCGTTTGCCAGTAATTCTGACAGGGCACAGTGCCTGAAGGGGGAGTGGGTGGGGAAGAGGAGCAGACCCAGCACCCGTCCAATGGCATGCAAGTACTCATGAGTGGCAGCTGACGGACCAATGGCTGAGGGAGAGCATGGAATTTTGCCACTGGAAAACAGAATTATTATATAGAGAGATGTGCTGTTGGAGGTGACATTTACAGATACTGTAGACCACCAGAGAAAACAAAGCTTCTTCTCCATAGAAAGTAAAATGGCTAAACAGAGGCTATTGCACTTTGGTCATATAATGAGAAGACAAGCGTCACTAGAAAAGACAGTAATGCTAGGAAAAGTTGAAAGCAGCAGGAAAAGAGGAAGACTCAACATGAGATGGATCAACTCAATACAGGAAGCCACGGCCCCTCAGTGTGCAAGACATGAGCAAGGCTATTAACGATAGGATGTTTTGGAGGTCATTCATTCATAGGGTCACTGTAAGTTAGAAGAAGCTTAATACAGAGAAACACAGAGAGCAGTGATCTGGTAATAATAGCTTCTCATGAATGAATGCATCTGTGCTGAACAGCTTTTTTTCAAAATAAAGCGGGGAGGCCTCTGAATCCAGGTAAAACTTTTTTCACTGAAGTAGAGGAGATAAAGCAGAAGCCTGCAGAATGCAGAACATTCTCAGGTGGCTGTTTGTGAACATCCGAAGTTATTTGGCAAGCTAAATTAAGCCAGCATGTCAAATATATCATTTATAAAGTTGGCTTTGGCATGTCTTGCCTAATAAAGGAATACTAAGGTACTGTTCTTTACTACTGTTTAGACAGTTCATCATAGTAAGAAGCATGCATCAAGCAAACAGCTGCTGGATCAACATGACCATGACTCTAAACTCCCACTTCAGAAAGTTGTTTGGATATTAAGAACACAGTTACTCCGCCCTGACCTGGAGCATCTGTGCTGAACAGCTTTTTTTCAAAATAAAGCGGGGAGGCCTCTGAATCCAGGTAAAACTTTTTTCACTGAAGTAGAGGAGATAAAGCAGAAGCCTGCAGAATGCAGAACATTCTCAGGTGGCTGTTTGTGAACATCCGAAGTTATTTGGCAAGCTAAATTAAGCCAGCATGTCAAATATATCATTTATAAAGTTGGCTTTGGCATGTCTTGCCTAATAAAGGAATACTAAGGTACTGTTCTTTACTACTGTTTAGACAGTTCATCATAGTAAGAAGCATGCATCAAGCAAACAGCTGCTGGATCAACATGACCATGACTCTAAACTCCCACTTCAGAAAGTTGTTTGGATATTAAGAACACAGTTACTCCGCCCTGACCTGGATAGCCCAGACAAGCCTGATCTTGTCAGGTCTCAGAAGCTAAGTAGGGCCCACCCTGGCTAGTAATTGGTAGGGAGACGTACAAGGAATACCAAGGCTCAGGACGTAGACGTAGGCAATCAAGCCACCTCTCTGAAACATCCAAACCCCAGTAGGAGTCGCCAGAAGTCATCATGACTTCCAGGCATGCAAGCACACACACACCAAAAACACACACAGTTACTCCCATTGTGAACATTTTGGTGATATTGGCATTCACTTGGATGGTAATAATATAAAATTAAGCCTGTGCATTCTTCCCATATACAAAAATACAGTTATCATGAAATTATAGGTGTCTTTCCATCCACCCACAAACTGTGTCATGGGACTTTCCTGCTTCCCACTCCTGCATCAGTCTTCAGTGTTGTCTGGAATCTTAATAGGAACTATGAATTACTTCCTTTCCCCCCACACATTCAATTAAGTAGATAGTTCAGTACAGAAAGCTGAGATGCTCAACTCCTAGCCAGAGATACAAATGTTGAAAGTAAATATTGAAAGAGGAATTGCCAAGAAAGTGACACGTTAAATCATGTTGAATGTGTCCTGCTATAATGCTATTATCTAGTGTTTAAAGGAAATAGAAAAGATGTATATAGGAAAATAGTGCAAGAAGCAAAAGGAATTATTGAAATTACTAAACAGAATATACTTAAGACAAAGATACTTTCTATCCACAAAAGAGTAGCAGGATCATCTTCACAAGGACATAACTGCATATTCTTCGGTCTTGGCCCATTGGAAAAGTGTACTAATTCCTAGTCTCTGAGTGGTACAACTGGCTTTAGAATGATGTAGTGTTGGGTAAAGTTTCTTTTTCATTTATACCCTGCCTTTAACCATGGTAGCAGTGGGGATTCCCACTGATATAAATTATACAAATATTTCAAAACTTCCTCTGACCTCACCATTATCTCATAATGGTTGAGATTTTCTCCTGCCTTTGGTTCAATACAAATGTTCCAGTGTCTATAATACCGCCATGCTAATTTTTTAACTGATATAATTTTCTGACATTTCCAGAGAGGGGAAAGACCTTAATTCAGAAGAAACCTACTATGTACCCAGATTGGAAATCTTCTTTTGATGCCCATATCTACGAGGGGCGTGTTATTCAGATTGTTCTTATGAAGGCTGCTGAAGAGCCATTATCTGAGGTTACCGTAGGTGTGTCTGTTTTGGCTGAAAGATGTAAGAAAGGCAACGGGAAAGCTGAATTTTGGGTAAGTGCAATGATGAACCCTTAGTTTGATTACTTTATTCTGAACTGTTATTTCTTCCGTTTTACACAGATGGAGAAAGGAACAAGTAACTGCTTTAACAGGTGTGGTTATGCTTCTAAACAGTTCTTATGGAAAAGAAAAAGCACTGTTTATTCAGCATGCTTTTCTACATTCTCATTTTTCTCACTTGTGTGTTTCTGTTGCTTGGGGGGGGCAGTTCTGTTCATGATCTTCTTCCTCTAGTGGTCAATTCGATATTAGATCACGGTATGTCCAGCATGTGTCCCTGCAGGTTTTTATGCTGGACATAAAGAGATGTAATAACAAATCAACCACTAGAGGGAACAGAACAGACACCCCCCCCACACACACACACACACCAAAGCAAAAGGAACACAAGCAAGGGAAATGAGAATGTCAAAAAAACAGCTTGTGAAGTGTCAGGACTTATTTACTGGCAAAGCCAATACATAGACCTGGATAACGGTGATCCAAATGCTAGATTTCCTAACTCTGGCATAGTATAGTCCATAGTTGTTTTTACGTGTCCTTGTATTCAGTGGTATGTATTGCATTTGATGGCCAAACTGTGCAAAACCCCAGAGTTCCATGATTGGTGTTTCCATCAAGTGGTTCTCCCCTCCCACACACCAGGTATAAAGCACCATTAAAAGCCACTTTTGGTTAGGGAACTGGTGCATGGAGGGAGAAGAGAGTTAAATATCCTCTTACTAGCACCTTAGTCCTAATCTGGATCAGTCTTGTCACAGTTACTTTTTAGGCCTATGTTATGTGTTGGGAATTCTAATCATAGGCCTTTTAGTGCCACAGCAGAGATCTGCAGGAGCCTAGTTCAGTAAATACTGCTGGTTTTCATAAGTTTCTCTTGAGTGTTTTTTACCCCTGGTCGCAGGGGTGGTTAGAAGAAAAATCAAATTAAATCAATATATGAAAATAAAATAAATTAATTTCTCCGGAGTCTGCATCAATGTTATCTGTGTTTAAGATGGGTTTCTCAGGACCTTGCTTTCAGTAGCAGCTTGTTTAATGTGTAATTCTGTCCTTGGGATGGGAAAGGGAAGGCAAGGCTTGCCAGCATGCTTTTTCAAAACACACAGAAGACAGTTAAAGAGGAATACACATCACCCTTGCATCTGTTAGTAAGTCACAAGTGAGGACCTGCAAGAAACTTGTGGGAGTAGTTGCCAGCTCCAGGTTGGGAAAGTCTTGAAGATTTGATGGTGTAGCCTTGGGAGGGTGAGGTTTGGGGAGGGAAGCGACCTCAGCAGTGTATAATGCCATAGGCTCCACCCTCCAAAGCAGCCTTTTTCTCCAGAAGAACTGATCTCTGTCATCTGGAGAATATTTGTAATTCCAGGTGATCGCCAGTTCTTGCCTGGAGGTTGGCAACACTAGTTCCCTATCTCCTTCCCACCCAACAGCTTACATTATTCTCATCTCCTTCTCTTTTATCCACACAACAATTCTATGAGGTAGGCTAGGATGAAAGTAGGTGACTGGTCCAAAATTACCCAGTCAGTTTCCACAGCAAGATGGGGTCCTGATCCTAGGTCTTGCAGACCACACTCTGAAGGTCTAACTGCTACACCAAACTGGTTTTCATAGGGTAGCTGTTGTTGAACAGTAGCAAGCAGCCAGGCCTACTTGAGTCATGTAAGTTAGGTGGTATCAAGTCACCCAGAGGTTGCTGCCAACCTCCAAGTGGGACCTGAAGATCCCCCAGAATTACAACTGAACTCCAGATGTTTGTTCCCCTGGAGAAAACAGCTGCTTTGGAGGGTGAACTCTGTGGCATAATGCTATGCCAAGGCCTCTTACCTCCCCAAACCCTGCACTCCTCAGACTTCATCACAAAATCTCCAAGAATTTCCCAACCTGGAGCAGGCAACCCTAGACCTGCCCCCAAAATATCCTCCGTAAAAGGCCAAAATAGATCTGGAAAGGGCCCTGCCCCCTCCTACTTTTACTCATAAAAACTGAAGCCTGGAATACTGTGGCTGCCTAGCAACAGCCACTGGGAAAATCTGTTGCTTAAAGCTACAGGTGCTTCTTTTATCGTCTTCAGATTTTTTTAAACCACCCATTTTTTTTAGATTTCACATTTTTATGCAAACCTGGGGCTCTTTTCAGGTTTGTAGGAAAATATTTCTTGCCCCTTCACAGCTCCAGTCTCTGGATTTAAGAATCCAAAGATGTGGCCAACCTTGCTCTTAGAAGGTTACTTACAGACTAAGTAGGCTATTAGCTCTTCCCATCCTTGGGACAGACCAATGTATTTTCAAAAACAAGGCTGCTGAAAGTAACAACTCCGTGTCTAGTTCTGCCTTCTGCAGTCCATGGTACATAGTTCAATGTACCTCAGGTCTTAACATTGTTACTGGTGTGCATTTCATTACTGATGCACACCTTGGCTTTCAGTAACATGCCATGACATCAGGTAAACTAAACTCCAAAACAACTGCAAAAAGAGTATTTATAATTTGTCAATGGGGGTATAAAATCATATTCAGTGAATCTGGAGATACTGATTCCAGCAAAAAAAAATTGAAGCAGTGTAATTTGGGGTAATTTAAAAACCTGTGAAGTGCCATGTGGCTGGACAGGAAAGCTGCTGTGTCCTATGACTTGCTCTCTAATCAACCATGTGAGACATTCTAATTCTGTCTACATGATGGGAGGGTTTTAATGTAACAGGGATGTAAATCTTTGGTTTCTTTCTTCTTAGCTTGATTTACAACCACAAGGAAAGGTATTGATGGCTGTGCAGTACTTTCTAGAAGATGGAGGTAAGGAGATTTGTTGGTTTATACTGATAGTATAAATCTTGGGTCAGGAGATTCTTTGTATGTGCAACAGAGAATCGTTAAGCCTAGAGCAATCCTTGACTTAAAGAAGAAAGCATAGCTGCTTCCATGTTCAGAGCAATATATGTGCATAGGATTGACTACATGTGCATTAATACTGCCTAATTGTAGCAGCTGGAGTATTGTCTGGAACAGTGCAGTTTTTATTCAGGTGAAATATTAGCAGTCCTATCTAGAGCCTTGAGTGAAACGAGGTGTAATGGAATGGGTTTTATATACATTGAGACTTGTTCAACTAGTACAAACATGAACTTCAGACAGTGTGTTACTAATAGCATTATATTAACATTGTTTACTGCACTATTAGTACCATCAAGAAAACGGTTGTTTTAAATGACTGTACTGTAGATGGGGGAAAACATACTATCTCGTATTCACGAAAACCTAAACCCACAAAAGAAAATCTCTCCATCAGTGTAAATGGGGTAAGATGAGTCACCACTCAGAATTGTTTGAGCACTATGTAATTGTTAAATCAGTTTGTATCTTCAAAAATATGCTTATCATGTTGTTTACATTTGTTTTTTCTATGCATTGAGAACTTTGTCTGTGCTCATGCTTGTTTACACCAGCGGTGTGTAGTGGTTAAGAGCAATGGACTCTAATCTGGAGAACCAGGTTTGATCCCCATTCCTCCACGTGACCTTGGCACAGTCACAGTTCTCTCAGAACTCTCTCAGCACCACCTACCTCACAAGGTGCCTGTTGCTGGGAGAGGAAAAGAAGTTGATTGTATAAGCTGCTTTGAGACTCCTTAGAGAAAAGTGGGTTATAAAAACCTACGCTGCTGCTGCTTCTTTAAGTTTTGAAGAATGACAATTCCAGCACAATGTCACTTATACTATAATACCCATGTCTCCTCCTCAGAGAAAATTAGGAACCCAAATATGAGAGTAGAAGAATTAGGGACTACTGAGGACAGGCCGTGGCTCAGTTGCAGAGCATCTGCTTTCCATGCAAGTCCCCATATATCCCTGGCACCTCCAACTAATGGCTTCAAATAGCAGGTGATATGAAAAACCCCTTCCTACAATCAGGGTAGGCCGTACTGCCCTTGATAGACCAATGGTCTGATTCCGTATAAGGCACCTTCATGTGTGTTCTCGATCTACAAAAGATATTGACAATACACTATCGTTTGTACCTCAGTTTTCTATGGTGTGAAATTTCAGTCAATAATGTATCTATTGCTCCTAAATGCTAAAGAGTTTTTCCTGTTCTTCAGTGGTTGTGGCAGCATTTCTGGACACATCTGACTGAAGACTTGTCACTGAAGTAAATGAGCAAGTCTTCATGGATCACCCATGGGTGATCCAATCACATGGGTGATCCACCCATGGGTGATCCAATCACATACACAAGTTGGATCAGAGCCAGCATTTGACTGCTAATCTTCACATGACACTGGTTGCTACACAATATAAACACATAGCGCTGCATTAAGTCAAACTGTTGGCCCATTTTACCCACTATTGCTGTCATCTCTAGCAGTGGTGCTCCTAAGTCCAAGGCAAAAAAAAATTCAAACTCTGTTGTTGGAGTTGCCAGGAAATGAGCCTTGAACTGTCTGCATGCAAAGTATGTGCCTCTGCAATGGAGCTGTGGCTCTTCTCCTTTCTTCACTGAGCTACCTTAGTATTACTGCATGACTGGCAAAAGTGAAGATAAAACCTGATGAATTGCAGGAGGCGGAACAGCTCTTTATGATGAATTACTCTGTGTGTGTGTGTGTGTGTGTGTGTGTGTGTGAGAGAGAGAGAGAGAGAGAGAGAGAGAGAGAGAGAGAGAGAGAGAGAATTTGGCAGCAACTTAGCATGTGTATTTCATTATAAAAATTGCAAGGTTGATAGACTAGAGTTAGAGAATGAGACACTTGCTTATCCAGTGATATTTTCTCTTCTCTCAACAATTTACCATCTGTTACTAGACATCCTCACTTGCTGTAGGGTAGACTATAAATAATTAAAACTGAACCACTGTGACCTTGCTTTGTATCAAAATTAATGAATGCCAACAATGTAATGTTTTTACTGCCTTACAAGTGTACAAGAGATACTTTAATTATTGATGCATTCATGCTAGCAGAAACTTAATGTTTGAAAAAGTAAGATAGAAAATGGAAGTGTTTTTGTTTCTGCATTGGATTCATTTGTGTAAATAGTAGTTACTATTTGTTGCATTTGGTTGATGAAAATCAATCTCAGTGATTTCAGTGAAGTATCAGAAGTTGGCATACATTGGAATAAGAAAAATATAGTTGATAGTTTCTTAAATTTTACTTGGGAATGGTATGGTAATTTTCTTTAAAACATCGCTTAATGAGTTCTAAAAGATACTTCTGAACCAAAAACTTTTTTTTTGCCATCAAGTCACAGCTGACTCGTGGCAACCCCATAGGGTTTTCAAGGCAATAGATGTTCAGAGGTGATTTGTTGTTGTATGCCTCTGGCTATGGTACCGTGGATCAGCCTGGCTGATCAGCGGAGTGCAAATTTACGAGCTAGGTTTAATTTGTCATCCAGGTATGCTGAAAGTTGCCACCAATCACTCAGCCATTTTACCCACAAAAGTGAGATTAGAAACAGCATTGATTGTTTCTGGCCAAAGAAATCTTTTCAACTCCAACTTAATTAGGGTCTCCTTTTGAGGTCACAGGGGAAAATAGCTTATCCAAACAAGTTCCTATTTCTTGTAAGGGTAATACTACTTTCTCCCAGCACACTTTTACTAGTGTCAGAGGTCAGGGATCCAACTTTGGATTTATACCCCTGTCATGATCTGGGCTGTGCCACCAGAGGCCTACTTGACCCAGGGAGCCTTCCTAGCAGTAGGTGAGGCTGGGCCTACAACTCCCAGAAGCCCCTGAGAGGTTTTGGAGCCAAAATTGACCAACAGGAAAAGAGGAGGGCTTGGAATAAAAAATCTGGTGCAGAAGGAAAAGCTGTTCTTTTTCCCAGAGGGCAGAGCCAGAAGGAAGGCTGCTGCAGGGAAGAGACCCTCATCCTAAGGGAAGGATGAGTAGTCTAAGGTCACTGCAGATAGTGAGCTAGGGACAGTATATTTAGACGCGAAAGGGCATTTGATTTCTTTTCACCCACTTACTGTTATTATTCAGCACCTTGTTTGTTTGACCTCCTATAAAATAAGCTATTTTCATTGTTCACTCTGCCAGGTCCTCACACCTATTATTCGACCAAAAGGGAGGTCTGAAGGTCTTGGGAGGGTGCTCTGGGCCTTCTCAAGGGATCCAAATCCAGCGTGGTGGCAGCATCAGGTAACACCCCACCTGAGCCGTGACAGCCCCACTCTTCATTACCCGAAGGAGCAGCTTACAATCTCCTTTCCCTTCCCCTCCCCACAACAGACAGCCTGTGAGGTGGGTGGGACTGAGAGACCTCTCTCAAGAACTGCCCTTGAGAGAACAGTTCTGAAATAACTTCTAACTGACCCACGGTCATACCAGCAGCTGTATGTGGAGGAGTGGGGAATCAAACCTAGTTCTCTCAGGTTAGAGTGCACACTCCTAACCACTATGCCAAACTTGCTCTCCGTAATATCCACAAATGAGATAGTCTAAAACTATTAATAGAATTCTGACAAAGCGATGCTCATGATATCTCTGATACAGGATCTGTCATCAACTTGTCATCAGCGTTAGATATACCATCTCTTGCCTGTTACTATACCCAGTGCAAATCCTTTATATAGCTGCAGTGGCTCAAGTGGTTAAGACGCTGAACTGCAGGCTGTGGAAGGTCGGTAGTTCAGCAGTTCGAGACCCAAGTGTGCCGCATGACTGAGTGAGCTCCTGTCTCTAGTTCCAGCTCCTGCCAACCTAGCAGTTCGAAAGCAAGAAATTGCAAGTAGATAAATAGGTACCACTTCAGTGGGAAGGTAACAGCGTTCCGTGCGCCTTGGTGTTTAGTCATGCTGGCCACATGACCACGGAAATGTCTTCAGACAGTGCTGGCTCTTCGGCTTTGAAACGGAGATGAGCACCGCAACCCTAGAGTCGGATTCGACTGGCTTTCGAGCAAGGGAACCTTTTCCTTTACTGCGACTTTAGACTTAAAAACTGAAGACTCTAAAATGACCTGCCCTAAAATTTCTTTACTTTGTGATATTTTTAAAACAAAGAGAAAAGGCTCCTCTTCATTTTTGATGTTGAAGAGAAGAAATAAGGTACTATTTTGTCACTGTTAGTGCATGTTAGAATTGGTGACCACCAAAACTGGTCTTACTTTTTATTATTTAAAATTATGGTTATGGAAAGCAGATCTAGTTACAGATGTCTTTGTTTATTTAAATGAAATTATTGACCTTATCCAGTCACAGAACGTAGCACCACAGTAGATGGTTTACTTTAGCACTGAGCTTCTCCATTTCTGCATTAAGCAGCTTGGGAAGCAGCTGGAATAGTTTTCTGTTTCTGCACACATTGAATTATCATGCTTCTGATTTCATCTTCAAGAAGAAGGGGTTTGTGACTCTCTTACTTGAAAAATTAGTAGTTTCAGTAGGGTGCAAATTCTTATGAAATCAGGACATTAATTTTTTATGGGGATGGGGGAGAAATGGGGGCTAGGATTTTTGTTTTGGGCTTTATTATATGAATAGTGTTTAGTGGATAGATGTGCACAATTTATTTTAAAGGGATATCTGAAAAGTTGTTGCCTAGTTCTGTCTAATTGATTTATAGATTATGTGCATGCTAAATTAATAAACACTGCAAATTTAAATTGAACTGACAGAAAATAATTGCTCTGACAGTAATAACTAACAATGTGTCTTGTTCTAGTCTGATGACCCCCTGCCTACGAGTCTTTATTAACTCCAATTCACTTCAACAAGACCTTTGCAAGACATTTGTGTGAGACTTGGTAGTCTTTTCGTGGATTGCAAACATCTGTAACGGAAATATA